ATTATTACTGTTATTATTATTATTATTATTATTATTATTATTATTATTATTATTATTATTATTATTATTATTATTATTATTATTATTATTATTATTATTATTATTATTATTATTATTATTCTCAGAGTAGTATTATGCACTGGAATATTTCAGATATGACTTAGCAGAGCAATACTGTTGAATAACAAAGAAGCTAATGTCGTTGAGAATTTCAGGCAAATTAATTAGATGAATTTCCTCGAATTATTTTTACTTATTTTAGAACTTAAACGAAAGATGAAGTTTATTTTTACAGGTAAAGAATAATGTGTGATTATAGGTGGAATGGGTTTTGTGCTCCTTTGCACTGCTCATTTCATGAAATTACACTATTTTGAAATTGATTGTGGAAGACATTACCATTGTCAATCTATGAAACAGTACCAGGTTTGTTGATTTTACCACTTATATGCCTTTTTCAAGTTCTAAAAATTTTTTTGAATTTAAATTTCATTCTGTATGGTAATCGAACTACGGAGACGAATGATTTTTGCGGCAAAAAATTCTTCGTTATAAATGAGAAGGGAGGTGAATTGTTTTTGTGCTGATTTCTCCCTAATCATGTCCTATTAGTAATATGCCAAATTATGGAGATCACTAAGAGATATTATCAGTATAACCAGTGAGATACATTCAAAGTTTCTTGTTACATTTTAATTACATCAAAGATTCTGGATTATCGATGTTACGAGGGTTCCATAGCTTGAGAATTTGCGGTAATTGATGATGAGAAAAATGTTGTGATGCAAACAATTCGATGACAAATTTATTATGAAAAATGATAAAGCAGGAAGATGGCCGAAAAGGGCCTTTGAATGGATTAGGGTTGGAATGTGAAATAAATGAGCCACCAACAGCTAAGGTTGGAACACGCAAATGGCGATATCATCAAGGGCGGAATCAATTTTGGTGCGATGGTCGCATCATTATGGCACGACAAAGTTCCATTTTTCTCTTCACTTTGATGGTTATCACTGCAACGATGGGTCTATTTTTCGTCTTTGAGTTAGTTTTTTAGCTTCAGTTTTTGGCGTAACTGAGAGAGTAGAAAAGAGGAACAGTTACGAGAATATAAACCTTCAAAAAGCCTCGAAGGTACGCGGTGGGGAAGAAAAATGTTAATTTACTTTTTCACGATTTCTTGATTTTCCAAATAATTTTTTCCATCCTTGAGACAATATGTCATCTTTCAGTGCACTTTTAAATTCTGGAAAAAAATAATTGCATTGTGGTACTAATGAGATGTTTCATATCATAAATTGAAGACCTAGATTTTCGCTTGTGTCATATTTCTAATAATTACAAGTTATGTGAGTACATTACTAGAAGGACAATAACATAAGGAAGATTATAATACAGTAATATAGTAACTATAATACAGTAATTTCAATGCAACTGGGATGATTTCAGCAATGGGCTATGATTTACTATTTGTTGTTCATTCCATCAATTTTAATATGATAATATTACAGCGCACCGTATCTATTTTGGAACGTTTCACCGGCTGTTCCAATAATTGCGGGAATATTATTGTGCCTTGTGCTAGTTAATTTATTAAAAACATCATTTTCTGATCCGGGAATATTACCGAAGGCCACAAATTTGGAAGCTATTGAGATTGACCGACATAATGTTGCAGGTGATTCCCTCCATAATTTGCAAATATAGCAGCCTTCTTTTGATAATACTTAATTATTAGTTTTTGATGTATGTTTACTTAACGAACTTTATTCATTCTTATCATTTAGGTGATCCTAATCACTCACCCTTAACTGGCCTACGAAATGTCTATTCTAATTTTGTACAATTAGGTAATTTTGAATGGCATCATTTTATTGTTGATGATAATCCCGTCGCTTGACCTATTCCATTTCCAAATTTGTCTTGCACGAGATATATGAATTTGGCTGGGTTTCTTCTAACTGAATTATCGCTCCTCGAATATTAATAAGGAAATTAGATAAGGAATAATAAGGAAGTTTTGGTTTTGAATTACTAATGATGCGCGATCACAAACATTTTACTTTGTTCTGAAAGCTTTCTTCAGAAAGCAGTTATATGTCGGAAGGAGTGCGAGCACCACCACGAACCAAAGCAATACGCATTAACGGGCAACTTATCAAATTGAAATATTGCTTCACTTGTCGGTTATTTCGCCCACCGCGTTCTTCTCATTGTTCCGTATGCGACAACTGCATCTTAAACTTCGACCATCACTGTTAGTTCATCAGTGATTTTTTTTGCCCAAATAATTTTTTTTTTCATTTATTTTTTGTCCAAGATGCTTTCACGTCACTTCTATTTTAAAATATAAAGCAAGTGTCACATTAGTTGTAGACTGAGAGTATTGAGGGTAAAAATTAGCTGAATTTCTAAGTAGAGAATGCTTTACTGGAGTTTACTGAGAACTTTTAAAATCATCACGTTGGCATCTAAACAGTTTACATGATATTTTTGAGTTTAGAATTTTCACTGTTGGAAAAGTAATTCATTTTACAGGTCCATGGGTTGGCAATTGTATTGGAAAACGAAATTATCGTCACTTCTATTTTTTTATTGTATCACTCACTGTGCTGACGTTATTTATATTTGCATGTGTATGTCTTCATCTTGTCATTCGTAAGTGTTTAATCTACATACTTTTATCTTGTCATTCATGTTTTTGATAGCCCTGAGAAGATAAATTATTGATTGAAAAAGATAATTCAATGATCCTACAATTCCTGGGATGAGAAACTATGGCAGTCATTGGATGGAATTTCTTTACTTAACTGCTAGTTTCCTAATTCGTTTCCTAATCCCAATTTTTTCCTCCAAGAATATGGCTAGTACTTCCTCCAAGTGTACCTTGCTTTCCTTATTCGTTTTTAGCACTGTAACAACCGTGCGTCATGTTATCTTGTGACTGAATAATCAAAAGTTACATTTAGTTGTGTATCCTTTTATGTATAATTAGTCAAAAATCATCAAGGGGACTAAGAGCTTTCTTCTTCTTAGAATGCATGCATTGGTCGTGAGTCAGGTTGTCCAGGTTCTGTCTGTAACATTTGACTGTTTTTTTACGATAAATTATTTCGAAACAATGTACTGTTTTAACATTCACTCGTATTTAGTCAGACTTTGTGAGAGAAAAACATAGGTATTCCTGAATTTAGATACTTTGCATAATTAGAGCTATTTGCTTACTTCAGAATTTTTTCATGAATCCTCCGGATTACTTTTTTTTTATGGTTAACAGCATGCAAAAGTGTGTTTTATTTGTTGCAGTGTCACAAAGGGAGAATGCGTTCCTGGGGGCAGTAAGACAAAGTCCTGCATCGCTTATAATTGCTTTGGTATGTTTTTTCTCCATTTGGTCAATATTTGGTCTTTCCGGTTTCCACACATATCTCCTGTTAACGAATCAAACAACAAACGAAGATATCAAAGGAACATTTAATTCGAAACGATTACCACATATAAAAAATCCATATACTGCTGGTTCTGTATTTTCCAATTGCTTTCGAACACTATGTGCTCCTGAATCTCCCAGGTTTACAGTTTTCTTTACTTGATTTTGTTGTCAGAACTGCATTTTTTGCAAAATTTAATTTTCTTCATACTATAATGAAAATTGTTCAAAATGAAATCACCGTTCAAATGAAAATTATATAAGATGCTGGAAAGAAAAAAAAAAGGTATGAAAATGACGTATACAAGAAATTCATTTACCTTGGAAGGATTAGAGTAATTTTAAATTTGTTGGCAAATTTTGAGAACTATTCGCTATACCTTGAGAAATTCTAAAACTAAAAGAGGAACAAAAGACTTTATTAGGAGTTTAAACCAATTTTCCGTGAACCCTCTACGTGCATATGCTACTTTTTTCAGCTTAATTGATCGAAGAGGTATTGTTGAGCCTGAACCGACTGTGATAGTGAAGAACTATGGTGCAGCAAATGGCTTAGAGCTACGATCATACGAAATTGTTTTAGGGTGATTAATTTTTTTTATTTGTTGAGGATTTGGCTAAAGAGATATTTCCTACCATTTTCTTTTTTTCTTACCACTTCTTACATCTAACGATTATCCGCCTTCCTTTTTTATTCAGTCTTTTGATTGAAGGGAGGATTTCAGTTGGTTTGGAAGATGTTGATACGTTTGCTTATTTATGGTAAATTTAGTGATTTGTTAATAAAATAGGAAGCTTTTATTAAACAGGGAAATAAATCGGAAGTGTCCGTCAAAGAGGGAAAAACCTCATCTAGTACCATATTTCCTGCCAGAATGCAATGTACTGATTCTGACTTTGAAACTTATTCGAGACTTTTCCAACATTTTATCGCATTATTTCCTAATTGTTTAAAACGTATAGTTGTTCTAAATATTAATGTAAACCTTCGTCTCCCATCTCATTTATGACATGGAGAAGGAGAGAATTCACTTTCCTGACTTGTGCATAATGCTAATTTTGCGATCATAAAATAAGAAACATTCGTTTCAGAAAAGATTCGGCGCATAATTAACGTCTATGCCGCGCTTCTGTATATCAATGCTTTGCTACAAACTTCTTGGTGTTTTTGTTGATTTATTATGAAGCTAAATTCGCAGGCCATCTCAGAGCCTAAATTTCAAAGGAAATTTTTGCATTTACCAAGGAAAATAGGAGATTTCTACATTTTTCCAACTGATATTTCCCATGTTTTGTTTGTTATATTTTTCACTTCACTACGGGTTTCTTTAGATTCCTTAATGTGAATTTGGTTTTTAATACTGGATTGTTTAAGTATTTTTGGAGAGATTTACAGTGCCATTTTAAGGTGAAGTCAATTTTTTTTGCCAAATAAAAATCTTTGTTCATGCATTCCTTTACATACACAAATCTAACACTAATTTCATTGCGATTTATGAGAGATGACAACTAAATAGTGTCAGAAAATATATCCCGAAAATTACACACTAATCAAGAACATATCTCGATTTATAATTTGATAACTACGACTGTTTATTGAATGAAAAGAAACAAAACAATAGCAACCGGCTCTCTATAAGATTTATCTTGCTAACAGAGTAATCATTCTTTATTCCTTAACAGGGATTGGTATTCTTCACATGTGTTCCGGAAATTTATAGGGAAGGATTCCTTTAAAGATGACACACGTGTCACTTCACGTAACTTGCACGTAACTTACACGTAATGAGTAGAGTGGGAGGAGAATGAGAATGCGCCACCCTCTTAATGTAATATGCAAAATGTTCGCTATTTGTGCTTAAACCTTCATCATTTCATCTCAATACCTTACTCACTGATTATCAATGCATACAGAATGAGATGATAAACTGTTAACATAGGCGTTGTTGACGACAAATCAGCGAAGAAAGCATTTCGAGATAGGAGTGAACTAGAGAATGATACAATGAAAGAAAGTGTATGGGGCAAAGAGTGAGAGAGTAATTTTAATTTGGTATTACAAGATTTTTTTTTCCTCCCTTCTAATGTCACAATTGTTGTGGATTAATGAAATTCGGATAAAGGAATGATTGCTTCATTCTTTTCCAATTCGGAAGGAATTTTTAGGTTTCCGGAAGAGATTGCAAATTTTTAAAATAATAGGAGCTTCATTCTTTCCCAATCCGGAAGGAATTTTTAGGTTTCCGGAAGAGATTGCAAATTTTTAAAATAATAGGAGCTTCATTCTTTCCCAATCCGGAAGGAATTTTTAGGTTTCCGGAAGAGATTGCAAATTTTTAAAAT